ATATGCGCAGCTTGACTTTTGTTTGGTGGCTGAACATTGGCAAAAAAACTCTGTAAAGACGTAAAGACGTGACTGCCAGCACGAATGTCTTCTTCCTTCCGATCATTACCTTGTTGAAGCTATGGTTGGTGTAAAATTGTACGCGAGCAAAGTGTGTAAATCTAGAGCGCCCAAGTTTCGGCAGCCGGCAGAGCAGCAGAGCGATATCTGTCAGTTTCAATGAGTCTTTAAGGTCGAAGCTGCTACAGTTCATGTCTGACTCAAAGAGCACATGGAGGGTCCTCTCTCCAGGTGTATCATCGAAGCAAACCAAACGTTAACAAAGATTGACCCCAAACAAAAAACGACTATATTCCCGACGAAACATGGCAAACGATCACCGCCAGATAGCGGGCGCATAAAAATGGGAACCTTGAAGCTGTCAAGGCTCTTTCGCTCGAAATGAAGGAACTTGCTAGACGAGACAAACGTGTTGCTCTAAAGACACTAAAGGAGAAATACATGACCAAAGAGAACAATGGACCGGTATAAAGCATATGAAGAAAGACAGCCAAGGTTCAGTCATTCATTCACATGAAAAAATCTTCAGGGAGAGTATGTAGCGCCAAGAGACAGGGATGAAGCAATCGCCACTTACCTTCAGGACAAACATTGGACAAATGAAATCCAGTTACCAGTTCAGCACACGGACAGGATTCAAGTTCGATAATGGACCATTCACCATGTGTGATTTCCACGGTTTGACTCAACTGCATGTGTGTTCCGACGGCCGTATAGGCTGGAGACGTCTCAGGTTGGCGTAGGAATGCCATGGGCACCTGAGGCCAGACCTTAGCCTCGGCGAAAAGGTGCGGCAACTTCGTTGGAGCAGGCGCTTGACGACTTGCCAGTTCAAACTGGTAGCGGAGCCCCTTCACAGGGGCGCCGCGTGAGAGAAGAGCATGAGTGAGGAGAAGAAGACGGAAGGTGGCTTGACGAAGAGGTTCGATGGAGATGGATCGAACCCGGCCAAGGACTACGAGAGATGGCGAAGATGGTGCAGGGCATACCTCACTGTTCAGAGGGCGAAGGGAGTCGGACCTGAGGCCCATGGATCCTTGGTGTTCTCGCTTTTGGACGGCACTGCACTTCGAGCACTAGACCAGGTACCTATGGACCGAGTGGAGGAGATCGGGGGCGAGGAGGTGATCTTTCAGATCCTGGATGACCGCTTCCCGGCTGAAGCCACTCACGACCGACTGGGGAGTGTGCTCGACCAGGTCTTCGACCTCAAGGTGGAGAAGGGGGGAGACTACGGCGGTGTTCACGGGCAAGGTGAGGGCAGCTTTCTCCTCGGCGGAGGCCGAGGGAGTGGTGCTTCCTGATGTCGCTCGAGGATACCTGCTGTTGCGGTTTGCCAAGCTGAGTGCTGAGCGGAAAGCCGTGGTGATGGCAGCGGCGAGACAGAGCTATGCAGAGAAGGATGTGGCTGCAGCACTCAGAACTACCTTCCCCGAAGGGCTCTACTCAGCGGCGAGGCAGAGTTCACATGCCTACCAGGTGGAGTACGACCAGGGCCAGGCGGATGACGATGAGGAGACCATGGAGGCAGAGTTTGACGTCTACCTCACGGACGCCGGCTATCAGCCGGAAGAAGAAATTGAAGAGCAGGACGCAATCGATGCTCTCCTGACATGGAAACAGACTCGCAGCTCAATTGCCCAGACCAAGTTGTCGAGAGGTTTCGGAAATCAAGGGCAGTTGAAGAAGTTGGCGGCTCGGGTCAAGTGTTTCAAATGTCGTCAGGTGGGGCATTTTTTCGCGAGATTGTCCCAAAAGAGGCACAGGAGGCAGCAAGGGCTCGACCAAAGATGGCAACCACCCGCCAGCGGCCGGCGCGAAGGTGAACTATGTCTTCATGGTATGGAGTCAACCAGACACCCCGAATATCCGGACAGAGTATCACTGGACCGTGGATGAGAATGAGGAAGGGGAGTTGGAGCAGAACTACAACCCACCGATCGGCCCTGAGATGTATGGACATGAGATGCAGGCATTGGTTGCGGGCTGGAGCCATGTGCCGGGAGACTTCTGGTACACGAGGGGTTCTGAAGTGCTTCGTGAACATGTGCTGCCCAGGACGAGATTGTTCACACCAGCGGCATCCAACTGTCCAGTTCCTCTTCATGAGCTATGCGACAGCCGGTCAACGCATCTGTTCAAAGAGGATGGATCGCAGGCGGTGCATTTCTCCCACAACTGGAAGGCACGAGGAGAAGCGCACAAACAAGGACATCGGTGTGGAGTGGACGGGCCGAACGGTGTTCTACATGAAGGACCTTCCGTTCACCCCGATCGACGAGGAGATCGACATGTTGGCCCAGGCCTACAAGGACGAGCTGGATACTGCACAAGATGAGGCTCTGAAGGAGTCAGGCTCAGAGGATTCCATGATGGAAGAGACGGACGAGGAGGCCGAGTACCTTGAGGGTGAGACGGTCGTGGCCCTCGTGCATGCGGCGGGCCATGGAGTGGTTGACACCGGATGTGGAAGAGGACTCGTGGGAGAGAGAACCCTGCAGCGGCATGAGAAAGTCCTGAATGAGCACGGCTATGAGATCAAGGAGATGCTGCATCAACCCCACAAGTTCAGGTACGGGAACAGCGCTGTGGATGTCTCGCGCCGGACGGTGCAAATCCCAGTGTTCCTGGCCGGTGTGCAACTTTGGCTGAGGGTGCACGTGGTGCAGGGAGACGTGCCTCTACTGATCTCCAAGCGATTCATGAAGTGCTTGGGGGGCCATCATCGACATGCGACAGGGTCAAGTGACCTTCACCAGGGCTCACCTGGCAGTGCCTTTGCTGGAACAACGAGATGGAAGCTATCAAATCAACCTCCTGGACTTCCAGAAGCCGCCAAAGATCAAGGACGCAGAAGTGGAGGTCCTAGCAACGGATCTGGGCGAGGAAGACGAGGAGGAAGGTGGCATCAACAACGGGGACGATCCCATGGGCACGATCCCGGAGGAAGAGATGGAAGAGTATGTCCCAACAAGCCCCGAACCAGAAGGGGGGCGATGAGTTTGAGGAGATCGAGACTCCGGAAGAGTATGAGGTTGAGACACCGGATGACTACGAGGACGGGAATCCGGAGACCCAGGACCAGGAGGAGCACGAGGTGACTGGGGACCAGGACAACCTGACGGCAAGCGAGCCAGAGGAGGAGTTCTGTGAAGAGGAGACGGGAGACCTGGGAGTCTTCAAGGCAGGGGAGAGAAAGAAAATCCAAGGAAACCTCACGGAGATCTTACAGGCCGAGCCGGAGAGACCATCTGTGGTGGAAGTCTTCTGCCCTGGACGTTTTGCTGAACGGGCCGGGGGCTTCGGACTGAAGGTCATTGGAAGCTTCGACTTGAGCAGCGGATGGGACTGGAAGAAGGCCTCCGATCGCAAGAAGGTGTGGGACCTGATAGTAGAGGAGGAACCTGACCTGATGATTCTCTCTCCACCCTGCGGTCCACTATCACGGTTGCAGAACTCGACCCCACCATGGAAAAGGGCTGATCCGGAGCAGCATGAACGAGATGTGATTGAGGCTCGAGCGATGGTGGCTTGGTGCACCAGGATTGCGCGGGACCGAGTGCGCAAGGGGAAATACTTCATCTTTGAGTCCTCGGCGACGTGTGCGGCTTGGCGGCTGCCGGCGATGGGGCATTTGATGGACTTCGATGAGTGTCAGAGGGTCACGGTGCCGGCATGCTCCGTGGGTCTTCGTGATCGAGAGTCGAAGCTGCCCTTCAAGAAGTCATGGAGCTTTCTGACCAACGCCGAAGCCATCGCTGCCATGTTGGACAAGCTTGAGTGCTCACAGGACCACGATCATCAGGTGGTGGAAGGCCGATCAGGGGGTCAGTTGAGGTCGGTTCAAACCCAAGTGTATCCAAGACGGTTGATAAACATCATACTGGGAGGATTCGCGCGTCAGCAACAATATGAGGCTGTATGTTATCCAGTTAGCCAGGCCGAT